TCGTCTTATGTCTTCGTCTTCGTACATATATCATTATTGACTAGTAATGAACTCTGAATCATTGGAATATGTTATAGACCGAATTAAAGAAAATTGATTCAATTGTAATGAGATATTTGATACGCATATACGTAAATGTTTCAAAGGCTATAAATAAGCATTTTAGATATAATGCATTAAAATAATATACATGTGCGCCTGTGTATGTGTATGTAAATCGTGAATGTATCTTTATCTAAATAAAGTAGCTCGTTTAAATATAGCTAAAATTTAATATTCGTAATATCAATTATATGATTATTGCTTTATAGAAACTTTATTGTTGTTTCGTAATGCAGTTCGTTCGTATATGCAGTCTATCAATAAAGTTGCATTAGGTGCATCATTAACATTGTCTCACGAGCAAAATGGACGTTGTCCATCATAGTTCATCATCATTAATTAGAATGTTTTTGAGTTCAGCTTAGGTGGTTACAATGTGATATCACATAGAAATTTCAGCTGTTCTTCCTCACTAACTTTATTCTTAGAAATCTGTGTTATTAAAAAGTATAAAAAAATGTTATCACTACATGTAAGTATAAATGAGTATTATTTCCAAAAATAATAAAAGATGTTCATATAAACTTTTATATTTTTTTTTATTTCCTCTAAAATAATGTTTGTGTTTATAGGTACAATTTATGTGCTTATGATTCGTAAATGTTAAAATCAAATCAGACATCTCGAAGTTAATCTTCGCATGAAAATACGTTAATGTAATTTCTTCCGCTTTCTCGGCTGCACTCCAAATCACGGGAAGAGCATTCTGCAAGAACTCGCGTTTATATTCCACCTCGTATTCAAGATAAGGGCACGGCCTTTATCATTTGTAGGTGTCTCAGCCACTTCTCTCATAGAGGACATCAGTTAATCTAAGTGATTTGCATATTAATACACGAAGATTCACGGCTAGCAGTAGTGTTAGGGATTATAAGTGCGTGGTTTATTATTTAGCATAAGAATTATCTAGTCGTGTAGTTAGCAGGATAGAGAACAATAACGATAAAAATTAAAATAAACATATAAAGAAATTATCGTTTTTAATTGATAAAAACTAATTAAATTATTATTGCTTTTTCCTGATAATCTACTTCATATAAAAATAAAAAAGATGTGAAAAAAATTTTTTATTCATCAATATAATACAGATATGTACAGAAAAATTTTAACTTATCATAATAAAACTTTAATGAACTCATTGAAATTTCAAGCAGACATATCTTTCTCGAAAATAATCGCGGAAAGATAACATTTATTATCTCTTTCGTAGTACTCGTTTAATTGGATCAGAATGTAATCTCTAGGCCAAAGAAAAATTAAAAATGTAACATGGACAAATTGGTATCGGTGTCGACAGTATATCATCGGTGAAATGTTACGCTCAGTGTAATTTATTGCCAATTATTCTGCACCGTGCAATACCTCCACAAGTTTCTTACAGCGCTAATATCAATTCGTTAAGCGAGAGTAACTCTGCTGTTCTCTCAAGCTGCACACAATTAGCAATTAGGTAATTCGCCCCGTTCCCTCCAGCGACTGATGGAATGTAATTTTTATTTTTCATTGGCAGAAGTTAGGTGTGCTTCGCGTTGTACATAAAAAAGTAATATAATGTGCAGTTTCTACTAATGGTTTAATCTTTTTCAGTATTCTCCTTATTTAAATATGCATCTCTCGTGCATCTGTAGCCAAATACGTTTCGCTACACAGAATTTATTAACTTAATTAAAATGACAAACATTATTTCATTGGTAAAATAAATATCAAATATATTTCGCATTCTGTAATAAAGAAGCTTCAAGCGTGTATGTTTTATTTATTACATTTTCATTACGCTTTTTAAATTATAAATAAGTTAAGTTATTAGAAAACGTAACTAAAGCAATTCAAATATATTTGAATATATTTGAATATATTTGTAATTTAATTGAAATATAAATATCATGTGATATCTAAGTTTCAATTAAATTACATATTTGAATTGCTTTAATCATGTTTTCTAGTAAGTTTGATGATTTTATTTATGATTCAGAAAGTATAATGAAAATGTAACAAACAAAACATATACGCTTGAACTTTATACAAATATGTGTGTGTGTGTGTGTGTGTGTGTGTGTGTGTGTGTGTGTGTGTGTGTGTAAAGTTACTTGTTAAATCTTCTGTTATATTCTATTAATTAATTATTCTTCTGCTATTGTTTACACTCATTTCTTCACTATTACTACAACCTTTAACTTTGCAAATATAATAATATCTTTTTATCATAGTTAATTATGAAAAGAGAAGAAAACACTCTCCGTCGATATTCTCCAATCAGTTGTGTAATAATTTTAGGAATTTTCAATTACCTTTTCCTGAAATCCTGAAAGGAATTTCTGAGAGACAATATGTTAAACGCTATCTCTCCTTCATTGTTTGTAGAAGTAATAGCGCGATCAAGCTCGATGTAGTATAGTTGTTTGTCTAATTAACTTAAGATTAATTATTTTCAATAACTAAAATGCTTTTATAACATGTTTTTATAACATATTTTTAAAAAATAAATTTTAATTGTGTCAAAAAAAATTGATTTGATGTTAAATTATTATAAAATTGTAACAATATGTCGCAAAATTAGAAATATTACGAGTAAAATATGCAATAAAATTGATTTTTGAAAATAATAAAAAGATTTATAAGATATTATATTCGTTCATTATAATTAAAACATAATTAAAGTATAACATTACTTGAAATGTAACAAGTGTTACAATTCAATGTTATATAAAACTATTAAATTGCGGATGTGCGTTTCTTTCAAATTTCCCCGTAGGCAGACTGACTGTGACATCGATAATTGAAGAAAATCGACTTGTATCCATTTTGTTTCCTCCTCTAACGTAATTTCCTAACGCTTTTTCGCACGAGTTGCGTTTCTCTTGAGAGAGAGAGAAGAGTTTCAATTACTTCCATGCTGTTATTCTCGAAAATGCCTTTGGGAAACGGGTCGGCAGGAGCTATTTTCGAAGTGCGATTCGAATCGGACTCTTGGATCTGACATGTACAAATACACGTTAAATCGCTGTCTAAATCTTTTTTTTTCCATTCTCGTGCATCTCAATAACTCGTAATTTTATATTTGGAGACCTTAGTGAAATAATAATTAAATAACAGAAAGAATATTCTCCAATGTAGAAATACAAATTAAACATTTTAAAATCAAAAGCATAAAATAAGAAAACGTGTAAAAAAAGGTAAAGAAAATGTGTAAAAGATTAAAAAATATGTAAACAACAAATTTTTAATTAGATAATTATAAAATTTTGAGGTAAAAATTGTTAGAAATTATGTTACTTTTAAAAATGTAGGAAATGTAATATTGATTTCCTGTTTAATTATTATCACAACTAATAGCGCATGAATATAATGAATTGCTGGTCTAACAATTTCTTGTTAAAAAAAGAAAAAATATAGCAAAATATAGAGAGTCACTTTACTTCACACTATTTTCAACGAAGTGCTGTATTGTTTTTATACAGAAATAGATTTTTTCGCAGACTCTCGAGTTTACACTGAAAACGAACGCTGTAACAGCTGTCGCATGCACTATGTTGTGTAGGGAACGCAAGCAGGGAAGAGTTTTTAACGTATATTACATGACCCGGTTTCGCACAAATAAATACTGTTATATGCAGAGAACGTCTGCTAGAGGCTATAATCCCAAACGATATCGATGATACTCCAAATTGGATAACGACATTCGAGAACACGCTCGATAAATTTTAACAATGCAGCTCGCGTCTAACACGAAGGTCGATACAGATGACCCGATAAAAAAGCAGTATTCATGTTAGATTATCAAACAAAGTCAGTAAGAATTACTCTTCTTCTTACTTCTGCTGCATAAAAGTTTTATCATACTAGGCATGTTCTCCGGGATTAAATGTAACCGATGTCTCGAAGGATTCATAAAAAGCATATGGCAAAATGCTTTTCAATGGATTCATTTACCGCATGATAAACGTCATTATATGCTACTATAAATGTCAACTCCTCGCCCTAATGAAGCGTGAGTATTAGTCTAGCCTAGCCTGTCCAATGCTTTCAAAGGCCCTTTAATTTTGGATTGGATGTGCACAAGGCTTCTTCCAACTTGGTGTAGAAGCGACACATGTACTTTACGAACTCGAACTCTCTTGTAAATGAAATAAGGGTATCCGTGCGCCATAATGTTCGGGCTTAATATTCGGTTTCCGCTAAAAGCAGTGCCAGCACTAAACTTGTCGCAATGAATTGATTTCTCCGAAATATCACTAATCAAGCAGTCATACATTCGTAATATTGACACATTACAGTAATGATACATAAGATATTGAAATCATCAGTATAGAATAATTTATAGTATTATGGTAATATATCCTATTAATGATGTTGAATCCTGACTTGTTTTCTATCTATCAAAAACTAAATTTTGAATTAGAGATAAAACAAATTAATTATAGCAATAATCAATGAAAAATTTTATAAATTTATGTTATTTTATGGAGAATTTTATAAATCTATGTTATTTTTTTGTCTTCTTTATTACTACATTATTATTTTATCCAAAATAATAAAATAAAATATAACCTTAATTTTATAAGGAATTGTACAAAATATTAAAGTAGTAATAGTCAGTTTATAAGTCAGACGCTATCTCTTAGTAGTTTCTTGTGATTAAATGCGTTTTTCATCACAATATAACGTAATTTTAGGACAAACGTTAGTTTCTTGTAAAAACCAATTACTAAAAAGTAATATATGTGAAAATAATAATATATAATAATACATGTAATGGGATTATCAATTGAAAAAAGATATATGTTAATAATTATTCATTCAGAATTTCAGATTCATAAATACATGAATATTTAAAGAGTAGATGTATAGCACAGACGAATGTGTCCCTTTAACAAAAGAATTCAATTTCTCATACTTACCCAACCATATCGGAGTCCTTGGCCACTCGACAGTGAACACCGCGATCCACCAGGCATTTTCCGGTCACAGGATCGGGCGGTGCAAGATTGATGTAGGGTGGCTCCTCCAGAAAGGTTATTTTGAGGTGAAACTTTTCCGGCACGCCTTGCGGAGGAGTGTGAGTATTGCCCGGCCAGACGATATCCTTGATGTCCAGACCCTCTTTCTCCCAGGACTTCCAGATACCGATCTGTCGACAAATAACAGAAACAAATATCAAATATAATCAAATATAGTCGCTATTTTAATAAATCACTCCCAACATCATATAATTAATTTTAGTGTTGAAATTTTAGTGTTAATGTAATTAAAATAAAAATTATTTTAATTCTGATAAGTCAAATTAAATAGTATAAATGCAGCCTAATGAGAATAATATCTAACATTAATTTAAAGCTCACCAAGTTTGAACATTGTAGAAGAATTTTCTCTCTACAATTCTCTCTCTCTCTCTCTCTCTCTCTCTCTCTCTCTCTCTTTCTCTCTCATCTTTGTAGTTACTCAATTATCTTCTTTCTTTTTTTCTCTATTCGTAATATAACCTTTAATAAGCATATAATTTCCTTTTCTAAAAATACTATTAAAATTTGAAAATTATATTTGACGTAAATCCATTTAAATAATTTAAAAGGTACCTTTTATAAAGTTGTAAGTTAGCCTTTTAGTGTAGAATATTTAAAAAATTTTTTTAAATATTCAAAACTTTTATTTAATGTATAGCGCTTTACGATACAACTTTAGCTTATATTGCTTTTTTGTTTATATTGCTTTAAATATCGTATCGCTTTACTTGATTGCGTGCAAAATTGTTTTCAGCAGAGAAGAAGTCGGCGATGAATGAAAATATAACATGAAATGGAAATAAAATTACGAAGTTCTTCCTGCACTTCTTTGAATCGTTCCATGACGAATTTGGTATGAAAAAATATTAGTTCAACACCAATATATAAACTAAAATTCGTCGTTTATTTCAAGTTGCTTGCATCTCACACGTATATCGTCTCTTACTAGTACGTGCTCGTACAATTTACTCTCTATTCAAAAACTGTATTCGGTAATGGAACACCATTAGTCAACGTCGATAAAAATTTTATAATACATCCATCATTGCTGATGTTATCGACTCAGAAAATTTAATAATAATGGTCTCGTTTGGTAATTTTATTCTATTTATTGCTATAAAGAAAAGAATAAAACAGAGTAGAGAGTACAAACTTAATTACGTTCTAAAAAGAATTTCTTGGAAACAAAGATACAATCGATATCATTAATACGCTAATAAATAAATGTTAAAGGTATGTGTAACCACGTAAAAATAAATTACTCAAAAATGTTAAAAAAAATATGAAGAGCTGATCCCAGATATAATTTAAATATCAATTCTATTAGCACCGTACTTCTTTCTACAATATTTAGAGCGTTATAACTTCGCATAGAACAATTCAATAGTGAATGAGCTAACGAAATGTGAAAATAACGCGGACGTAATTTACGTCGGCAATTAAAACCATTTGCACATATGGCAGACGTTTCCGCACGTTAAAACTTACGGTCGACCCGGGTCATGTAGGTGAAAATACGTGACCGCCGCGTCGAAAAGACATATGGGCGGCACTGAAAAGTGCATTTATGCGTGCTTTTCTGCATGCCTCACATTGCATTCCTAAAAGCTTTGTCAAAAAGTAAAATGTATAAATTTTTAATAACTGAATTCACAAAATAGCACCATCGGAGTGATGACACTAAAAAGAAATAAATACAAAAATGCATATAGGAAATTACAATGATTTATTAATGTATAAATTCTGAGAAATTTTCTACAAAGAAATTTTTTTTGTATAATTTTTGTATAATATATTTTGTAATAAATTTTTAATATAATTTGTTTTAATACGTTATTTTTAAATAGAGGTTTGTATAATGTTTAATATGACTTTTATATATATATATGTTTATAATAATAAATAATTAAAGTTTAATAAAAAAAATTTAAACATATCTCATAATAAAAAAATAAATATTTTGCTTCTATCGCAAAAAATAAAACATTTCAATATATTAATCTAAAATCAACATTTTTTAATAATTAAAAACAAATCTCTCAATATGTCATAGAAAAAAATTTTTACATCACAGTCGAAAAAAGGTCAGAAAAATTTGTAGGAATTATTTATTAATTCATGGTCTCTACGAGGCAATATCAATTTTGGCTTTCGTTATATGTTATCGAAAATCGATCTATTCAAATATTTAAAACAAGATAAAAGTATAGTTCACATGTGTATTGTCATGAAAAATCGATACAAAAGTAAAATTATAATATAATATTTTGTAAAAAATTTAAAATATATAATTTTTTTTTGTATAAAAATTGTAAAACTGATTTTAATTTTAGAAGATGCAAAAAAGTTTTATTTCTTTCTTTATTTCTAAAAAAATAAAACATTGCTGTATGAATACTATACAATACACACACACACACACACACACACACACACACACACACACACACACACACACACACACACACACACACATGTACATAGTTAATGTTTTACATAAAATATCTATAATCCTATTGTCTTATAAACCTTCAATGCAATTGATATCTTAATATTACTTTCTCAAAAATTATTATATATTTAGTTCAAAATTTTAAATAGAGTACATTTATTTCTATCATACTTCATCGACTATTCATTGACTCTCGTGCGATGCGCTTAATCGAGTACATTTGAACGCGAATTGATTTATTCCACACATTCCAAACGTTCCATTCAAAGAGGTAATTTTATGGCGATGTGAACAAGGGACCAAACTAGGCCAGTTTATTTACATCACGTTCTCACTGCTCTGTACATTTCCGTCATTTCATCATATGCATTGCGCGCTATTGTCAGCGTCAAATCGTCTGTCAGACCGTCAAAATTTATTTGACGATCATGTACTACAGCGAAGAAAGTAAATGACTTCTTGTAGAATATATAGCAAACACTTTCCAGGTGCAAAGGACCAATAAAACGAAATTGCATCGTTCCGGTGTGAGCGTTGCTCAACTTCTGAATATGTAAAGCTTTCGCCGGCGATGCGCGCGAGACATCTACATATTAGAAAGAAACGATACTGCACGGGAGGATTGCATCGAGCATGTTGCCGTGAAAATTCATATACACGCTCGTGTACACTTTTTGTCCCATCGTGCGAAGAAACGAGAAAATCAGAACATGCGACCTTTCAATCAAAATCTACCGTTCTCTTTGGAAAGACTGAAGATTATCCGAGAGATTTACGCATTTGTAATTAAAAGCTGACAACTTGGCGTTACATGCATTCGGAACTTTTCGTTCGCATGCCCATCGACCGTGTCCCATAGCGGTGAATTAATATGCACGCAGACGCCGTTCTGTACGCCATCTTGTATGTTCTGTTATAGAAAATCCTTTATTTATCGAAATTACGTCAAGCGTATACGCATTTATATGCTACATCGTTACATAAAATCTAAGCAAGATTAACAAATATGATGTCAAGTAGAATGTTCGACAAACAAAATCGCGTTTTGAGAGAATACAAAGAATGATCATAAATTTCATGACATAATTTAAACTCTGAGAGAAATATGAGATCATATAATAAAAAGAATAAAATATATTATATTTAGTTCGCGATTTTTATTTAACGTATAAATAAAGTAATTAACAATTAAAATAATAATTGCAACATTAATTGTAATGTTAATTGTAACAAGTCCAATTTGTTCCTGGTACTGCAATTATAAATGAATATCTTCCAACAAATGTTGTACATTATTATTTCTTTCTTCATGGATCTGTGTAAGTCTGCAATCACAAAAATTACATTTTAACTCAGTAATATCAAACAAAATAATACGTATTTCCTTCTGCTTTGCTCGTTACTCAGCTTAATTTAAATCGTGGATATAATGCGAGCCAGTAAACCGCAGAGAAGATACGGAAATTAAACTTTCGCTGAGAAATATCTCGCAAAACGTCATGTGCAATGGCGTCGGCTACAAAGCGCCGGTGATAAAATAATGACTACATTAACATGCTATGAATTAATAAACAGATTACAAGTTCATTACACGAGTCGAGATTATATCGAGTTAACTGTGCCGCATGATATGCCATACGCGTTCTTTGACGTTGATATCCCCTGTCATATTTCTCTCTATCATCGCAAATAGCAAATATTCTTTCCACGCAAAATTAACGTGATATACCGTTAAATCTTATGGTATTTCCTAATTATCGTGTTCTTGTTGCATCCTTTGCTAATTATAAGTTACCCTACCTGTTTAGTTCGTGACACGTTAGCAGTTACATCTTGTTAATCAGTTTATCGCTTCGCGGCGAAAGCCAAACTTTCTACAATAACCATAGCAGTTATAGTAATGAGACATTGCAGGTTGATATATTGAGTGTATGTTATGATCATCTAAACATTCTGAATATTACATATTAATATCATCTTAAATGAATTTGTTAATTTTGTACTCATATTTTTGTTTTTACGAAGAATACAAGTTATATATATTTTAAGATATAATCTATATTTATAGTAGATATCTAATATAAGTAACATAAGATTAAGCAAAAAGATTACAATATAGATATTCGTAAATTAATAATTGCATATAGAGAATTTATGAAGGCAATTCTATAAATATTTGAAATAAAACACTACAAACCTAAATTTTTAAATTTCATGTTTAATTTGAAACGTGTCTGCATGTTCAAAATTTTAAAAAAATTTATATGTTACAAATTGAACATCTCTCTCTCTCT